AAAAAACAACCCAAACTTACCTACTACAGCCTTTGCTTTACCTTCATAAAAAGACCAAGCCAGAGCCAGGGCATCAGTGAGACGCTCTTGTTTCAGAAGATGGTCAACTCTCTAAAATAACAAGTAATATTGGACCTTAGTATTACAGAAAAGATGATCCCTTCCCATTTAAGATCAGCATTTCTCAGTAGTGGGTCATGATCCCTGACAGCAAGGGAACAGGAAACCTCAGAAGCTCTCATCACATTACAGTAAAGGACAGTATCTCAAAAAGATTCTCTCATATGTACATTTTCTGCTGGACAGTTAAAAAAGACTAAGAAACGTCAGGCCCCAGTACATCAAGTCCCTATGGGCTACATTTTAGGTCAGATGCTTGATGGATGGAGACCCACAGCATCGAGTGTCTGCAATCACAAAGAATAAAAACCTTCCATTCCCCATTCTTGCCTCATCACTTAGAGCACAACAAACAACTCTGCCATGTTTTCAGCATACAGATGTACTCATCCTACCCTTTATTTCCTCCTGAACTCACATTCAACAAGGATTGAAGTAGATCACAAGTATTTTCTGCTTTAAGGTATTATTAGCACACAAGGTCGAGCACCACTAGTCTTGGTATGTTAGGTCAAAATGTTAAAGTACTGTTTGAGAGAAGAGAGCTTCTGAGCCTCAGACCAGCATTCTGTACTGCAGCAAGAACTCTCAGCTTCACACCCTAATCTCCCACATACTCAATTACAACTCTTGAGTAAGTCCCCTACAATAAAGAGGCCTGCAGCACAACAGAAACCATACAGTAATTTAGAAGGAAGTTGGCTCAGAGCATGTAAGTTGTGACTGACTTCGGAATTCTAGGAAAACCAGTACATGAAATCATGGGTCAAAGCAAGACTTTTCATCAACTGTTTACTAAACCAAAGTTGGTAGTGAATGGCTGGAGGGAAAACTAGCAGAGGAAAGTGATCTTGGTAACTAAAAGCAGCAACTGTATAAAGGTTCAATAGAGCTGAAACGTTCATATTTTATTAAAGGTTCTGATACAACGTCACGTGGGGGAGCTTATAATCATGGATGAGTACAAGAGCCATAAAACAGGTAAGAGGAAAAATGGTGAAGGTCACTGCTTAAAGGAGAAATGTGAAACTGGAAAGAAATGACTATTGGAGTTCCTTGAGAATCAGTCTTGAAGCCCCCTTCTACATAACGATTTGGTCAATTAACTTGGTATAAGCTGAATTTACTAACGAAGTTTGCTGATGACCAACTGTCAACATGTGATGTGAGACAGCAGACCAGAAAGACAGACACAATAGGATTGCCCCTAAAGCTGGGTAATAGAACTATCACGTAATCCAGTGGTACCAGCAACTTAGGGCAGAAATCAGAGTTGGCTGTGAAGTACTAGTGAATCTCCAGAGTGTCACAAGCCACTGACATCACGTAGCCAAAGGAACAGCAAAATGAGACCCACTGATGCATGAGAAATGACTTATCTAATAGAGACAGTGAAGAACAGGTGACCTTGTGCATGGCACTTGTAAGATCCTACCCAGAGTAACGTGTGCCAAAGTGTTCACCTATGTTCAAGAAACTGAGCACAAAGGAGGTGCAGAGAACAGTGACTATGAAAAAAGAAAGGAATGGGAAGGTAATCTTACAAGAGGATGATGAAAGATCTTTGCTTAGCTTTGCAAAACAAAGTCTGAGAGAGAACATGCGTACACCGAATAAACATACTGCAAAGTGATTATCCGGAAAGGAAAAACTGCTGTTTAACACAAGTAGAAAGAACAACACAGGAACAAATAGACATAAATAGATCACTAAGAACTTTAGTGTGGAAATTGATAGGGTTTCAGCTGTCAGAGAAATGATGTTCCAAAAAAATCTTCTACCAACAGAAACAAGGATCTAAAATCCAACGAACTTTCTAGCTAGTCTTTGACGGATTTTATGATGTAGCTCCTGCAGTAGCTGGAGACAAAATAGCAGATTTCCTTCCACTCCTGTATGCTTACCTGGCAGATAGGAGGCTTACGCTTATACAGTCCTCCAAAGTTATACATTGCACTATCTATCTTGTTAACAGAAGCTAAAACATGGCAAGGCATTATGTCTTGCTTGGGAGAACAAGGTCTCCATTCAACCTGCGAGTTTACGCAAGCAGGAGTCCCGTAGGGTCCCACCGTGGAAAGCAGTGTACCTACGGTGCTGGCTGTGCGTAGCAATCGGATCCTGAACACAGCGCTCAGAACATGCTTCACAAATGCTCCCTCCCTCCTCTCAAGCTATATTTAAGCAATTCGAACCTACTAAGCTGTACAGTTTTCCTCTCAACGTACCTCTCTCCAGCTTCTCAATGTCATGACGTGAACAGACTAGAAAAGAAAAGAAAAAAAAAAGTTATTTACTTACAGTTGCTCATGCAGCCTGTGGTATCCCACAGACCCACCAGAGCGTGCTGGTACAGATGAAGCTAAGTAAAGCAACCTTCAAGCTTGGCACGGCAGGAATAAATTGGATGTTTATTTTTTACAGAAAACATCCTTTACATGGCCTTACAACCCATCTGCTCCAAGATACCATCCCTCACTTCTTCCCCTACTTCCACATGCCATCCTATAGGCCACCTCTCTTTGCCTTTTCCAGACAGCCTGCACTGCAGGGCAGGAAAAGTGAATAGGACATTCCTTTTATCATTCCACGCAATAGAGTCTAGTTTTCCCTGCTGTCTTATTTTCTTCTGTTTACTCACTAGCACATTTAGGACAGAGAAATTGAAGCTTAGGACAGAGGAGATGTCAGTAAAGTAATGCTAAGTCTACCCTGAAACAGCATGAACCAGGATACTGTGAAACTAGACCAAATTATTGCACGTTTCTTTAATCCCACAACATAAGTGCACAAAGAACCCATCCCTGATTCACATCTCCATTGAATAAAAAATTGCCCTTCTCCAGAAGATGAGCTACCATCAACAGTGAATGCCCTCTATTTTTACTAAAAACTCCCCACATTTACCTTAGTTCCAAGGTAAAAGATCTGACCACCACAGCTGCTGATGGACTGATAACAAGCTTTCTCTCCAACCAATGCCTACAGGGAGAAAAATTACCGGCAAGTAAAACTGCTTTTTGTTTTTGTAAAATTTCTCATGAAACATATATACAGGTGAACTTTAGAGACACTTTGTAATTCAGAAATCAAAATGAGGACTGGGAGAGAACACCACAGATTGCTGGGCAGTAGCAAGTAAAAAAGCTCTGCTGCCACTCCCTCCTGCTTGTGAATGCAGCTTAAAGGGCTACTGAGCTCTGGCTGCCCAGAAAACATGACGGAGTCAGAAGGACCCACAGGCAGTGCTCTGTGTGTATCCTCAGATGCAAAACAAGTTATGAGGGCTCTTTCCTTGCCACCTGCTTCTTCACAAATCTTCCACAAGAGCAAAAGTGTAGAAGGCACAGATGGAAAGAATATTGTTGAAGTGAGAGTGGCTACAAGAAGTTTGAATGCCAGTAACTAGTGTTCAAAAGGCTGTGTATGGGCACATGTACAACGTGAGAAATGGAGGATCACATCAAAATCAGAGATTTTACCACAGTGCATGGGCAGTGCTCGCTTCCCACTCTGCTGCACAGTTACACAGGCTAGAGCTGTTTGTCCTGTACTTTTCTCAGTCTGGTCAGGTAGGGAAGCTTCCTGGATCTCTTCCCACTGCTGAAAAGTGTGTCCATTCCAGGGACTGCCGTAATAACACTTCAACCTGCTCAGCACAGAACCTAAGGCTGAAGTAGCAGATATTCCCTGCATCTTTCTTTAGATGCTGCAGTAGAAGAATGGGGTCTGACAGTCTTCATCCACAAACCCAGGCATCTCTGAAACCAGAATATCTCTTATGGGAGTAGCAGCCTCATCTAAGATTTGCCTTCCAGACTGTCGCAGAACTAAAACAGGAAAATGTATCTTTCTGATCCTCTGAGCCATGAAAAAACAAAAAAGCTGCCCATCAGAAGTTTTCTGTGACTCAATTGCTCTGGAATAGGTTGTCTTGTAATTCCTACCGAAATGCAGGGAAAG